TGGAACTTATTTTACATTCTCATCGATAATATAGAAAACTTCGATTTTTCCTACAGCCTCACCAGCATTTGTTGTTTGATTTCTTGATGATAGCCATTTTTTCTGCAGCAAGATGGAATCTCAGTGATGTTTTACTTTGCATTTCTCTAATTTCCAGAGATGGTGAACATTTTTTTCATGTATTGTTTGGCCACTTGTACTTCTTTTGAGAAGTGTCTCCATTTCAATAGCCCACTTTGTTGTTGTGTCTTTTAACTTGGGGGAATCTAATTGTTTTGAGTTCCTATGTATTCTATACATCAGTCTTTTGTCCAAGGAGTAGCTGAGAAAACTTTTCCCCAGTCTGTAGGTCATCTCTTCACTGTATTGGTTGTTTCCTTTGCAATGCAGAAATTTTTAATTTGATATGATTCCGTTTGTTGACTCTTGGTGCTATTTCTAGTGCAGTTGGGGTTCCATGCAGGAAATCCTTGCCTATCCCCAGGTCTTTAAGAGTTTTACCATTTTTTTCTTCCATCAGATTAAGTGTTTCTGTGTTACTATTGAGGTCTTTCATCCATTTTTATTTTAGTTTAGTGCATTGTGATAGACAGTGGATCTAGATTCAGTCTTCTTTGTGTGTACAACCAGTTTTCTCTGTACCATTTATTGAAGAGGCTGTCCTTCCTGTAAAGCAGTAGTGGTAAGCCTGACACACACGCTAGAGTAGGCACACGGAACCCTCTCTGTTGGCGTGTAAGCCAAGTTGCCAAGTTTTGACAAATTATCAGCATGTATACAATAACAAAGATCACATTGATTGTGCAAAAGCAAGCCAAATACAAACATTTTCTTTTTAATAAAAAGCTGTTTGTATCATTGAAAACTCTGTTATTGTGTTTTTTTTTTACACTTGATCTTAGCCAAAATGCTGAGAAGTGATATTGTGTTTTTCTGTTAAGACAAAATTCGTTAATGTGTTAGTTGCTTTTTTCTACACTAAGACTTCAGGATTCAGGTTTAATTGCAGTTTTGGCACTCAGTTTTTAAGAGATTCACTGTGTCTGCTCTAGGGTATGTTTTTTGGTCCCCTTATCAAAGACCGGATGGCTGGATATAATTGTGGTTGTTTCTGCTTCCTGTATTCTATTCCCTTCATCCGTATGTCTGTTTTTGTGCCAGCATCACTCCATTTTTACCATTATAGCTTCGTAATGTAGCTTGAAATCAGGGATTGTGATTCTTCCTGCTTTGCTCTTGTTGCCCAGTATTGCTTTTACTATTCTGAGTATTCTGGTTCCATACGAATTTTAGTTCTGTGAGGAATGTTGTTGATATTTTGATCAATTGAAGTAGTATGTCCATTTTTACAATACAATACTGGTCTACCTATCCAGGAATAGGAGATAGCTTTCCATTTTCTGATGTCTTCTTTAATCTCCTTTTTCAGAGTGCTATGATTTTCATTATAAAGGTCTTTTGCTTCCTTGGTTAGGTTAATTCACAAATATTTAATATTTCTTGGAGGTATTATGAATGGTACTGGTTTTTAAATTTTTTCTGTCAGTGGGCTCATTATTGGTATGATGGAACACCCCTGTTTTTTTTTTTGTGTGTGTTAATTTTGTATACTGCTTCCTTGCTAAATTTGTTTGTTAGTTTTAAGAGTTTATTAGGAGTTTAGGAGTTTTAGGAGTTTATTAGTTTCAGTGGATATTTTGGGAGTTTTGTATAAAGGATCAAGTCATCTGTGAATAAGGATATTTTGACTTTTTACTTCCCTATATGTATCACTTTTTTCTTTTCCTTGCTTAATTGCTCTTGCCAAAGTTTTGAATACTATATTGAGCAGAAATGGTGACAGTGCAATCCTTGTCTTATTCCTGATTTTAGAGAGAAAGCTTTCAATTTTTCCTCATTTCATATGATGTTGGCAGCAGGTTTGTCATAAATGGCTTTTATCAGATTGATAAAAGGCCCCCCCTATACTTATTTTCTTCAGAGCTTTTATCATGAATGGATGTTTGGTTTTATCAAAGGCTTTCCTTGTGTCTATTGAGATGATCATATGATTTTTGCCTTGCTTCTATTAATGTGATATATTAAATTTATTGATTTGCATATGTCGAACCATCCTTGCATCCCTGGAATGAAGCCTACTTTGTTACATTGTTTGTCAGATTCTTGTTGAGGATTTTTGCATCCATATTCATTAAAGAGAATGGCCTATAGTTTTATTTTTCAGCAGAATCTTTGTCTGGTTTTGGAATCAAGGTAATGTTAGCTTCCAGGAATTTTGAGAAAAGACCTTGCTAATGTGGCTCAGGCTGCCCTTGAACTTGTGATCCTCCTGCCTCAGCATTGGAATATCATAAAGCATAAGATATTAAAATTGCCATCTAATGGAATACTAAAAATGCACTTGGCCTCTGTTTTATGGCATTTTCAATCTACAGCATAGAATAGATGTTTGTATGAGGCTTTGGTTTGCAGAATCAGTCCCCAAAGTGTCATCCAGCCTGTCTTGCACACTGTTCTGACTCTGCTATCTGCTTCTGATTGACAAAGTGCTTGGTTTGCTCCTTCAAATACCTGGCCAGCGTGTGCCACACTTGCCAGAGCCCATAGCTCTGAGGCCACTTGATCTCAGACAAGAACCTCTGCAAGATTAGCTAAAATAAATCTTTTTTATAAATTAATTTCCTCAATTATTTCATTATAGTGAAGGAATGCTAATAGATGCCAATATTAAATACAAAGTTTTGAAAATAATGTTAGCATTTAATACATAATCAATCACTATCACCTATTATTCTTATTATTTCCAAAGTTCTTTCATTACTTTTTCCTCTTAGGAGCAACAGATTCCTCTTGGCTATAATATATGAAATTATCTCTTAAAAATAAGCCAGCAAATACATTAAAATTTCAGCAGAAGTGGGAAATCCATGAGAAAACTGACACTAAATAAGTTCTGATAATTTGTTTTTCAAACTGTGACAGAATTCTAATTTCTTAAATCATGACTGCTTCTGAGGATATCCTCAGATAACATAGATATATATATTTCAAAGAACCGATTTAACAAGATTTTGATTCATTTAGAAACTCTACATTGGTAATAACATATTCAGCAGATTCTACAGTATTGAGGAAGGAGAAACTGCTATTCCTAAGCAACAGATCAAAAGAAACAGAGGAGACCCAAGGAAAAAACCAAAGCTTGAGCTGTGAATTCCACACCTCATTTATCTTCTGTGACTTTGAGCAAGTCACTTGCTGCATGCACTCTTTGCCCCTTGTTCTGTTAAATGCGGAAAACAAATTCAGCATTGTTTTGAGAGAGCATTTTCCGTTTCTTTTTCTTTTTTGGAATTGGGGATCAAACTTGGGTCCTTGTGCTTGCAAGGCAGGCGGCAGAACCACTGAGCTAAATTCCTGGCTTGAGAAAGAACTTTCTAAAAGCTACCTGTCAGTAAAATGTAAAATGAAAATATGTAGCAGAAAATTATTTAGCCTTTAATGTAATTGTCTACTCATTAATAGGCATATGTGGTTTGGATTTCCATCATTAATTATTATGAATTCTTCAATCAGAGACTTTGTGAATATGAATCAGGGTCACATTTTTTTCCTATGCTAAGGTTGAAAAAAAACCAGCAAGTCTCAAGGGATCCCAGGTTTGAGAGCTCTAATTTACATGAAGATACAAATATTTTTGGGTATAATTATCGATCATGGTTATTTATGAATAAACTAGATTGAATTTAAATAGATCTTGAAGCCTATTTAGCATTTCTTTAGAGAGAGTGACCCATGAGTCACATTCCTATATAACCAATTATTATCACTATCCTTATTTTTAACAATAAAATGATGAAAACTTAACTAATTACTTAATAGTAGGTTAGGCATCAGTAAACATTGAGAACCCCTTCATTTTCCTTGAGTTATTATTTAGGTAAGCAGTGAACATGAAATTCAACTTCATAATAAATATATCTGTTCATTTTGATGAAGACAAAAGGTGGTTATGAGCATTTGCGGGAAAGATTCTCAATTAGATTTTTCATGTCAAAAGAGAAGATTCTGTGGGATTATTTTCAAAGAGCAATGGAGAACACAGTATATATCAGAATTTGTTTTCTTATTCTCTCTCTTTTTTTCAATATTGGGTGAAACTACATCCCCAGCCTTTCACCTTCTTTTTTCCAGACAGGGTCTCACTAAGTTGCTAAGTTGCCCAGCCTGAGCTCGAACTTGTGGTCCTCCTGTATCAGGTTCCCAGAGTGCTGGGATTGAGGCACCTAACATCATGCCTAACCTCTTGTATAGTTCTTGCTTGTTTGTTTTGGTCTTTATTTCCTTCCTTCTTTCTTTCTCACTTTCCTAACTTTATTTTAATAAAAGAGTAAAACAAAATTAAAAAAATCAAAAAGCAAGCATACAACATGCCTCCCCCAAAACAAACCTCAAAACATGTTGATTGAAAAGCTCCCAGCCAATAGCATGTTTATGTGGAGATTTCCTTTAACTGATTTTAACAACATCTCTGGTGAGCAAACCTTGTTTAAATCAACAGAGGAAGGAGGAAAATATCAACTGTTATTACTACAGCTCTCCCTGTAGCTATTCAAATATAATTTATAATAGTCACTCACAGCAGATCTCTCCTCTTTAGTGGGTTAGTCATATGTATACTAAAAGTATCAAGTTGAAGGGTGAGGTCAATATTTGTCTTAGCTTACATATCAAACTGGAAGATCAAACAACTCTTGTAACAACAAATGATCTGCCTTGCTCAATTTTTCTTCTATTTCTGTTAACAAAATCAACAGCGCCTCCGGAAAGTATTTACCAAGGAAGCCATACAAAGAAAAGGTAACACAGTTTTCCCAAGGCAACAAATATCACGAACATACGATGTGTAATGGTCTGCAATCCAAATATCCCGATGTTTAGGTATGAAGAGAGAAAGAGAGCCACCCTGTCTCTAAGGAGTGAGGTGGCTGCCTGCTTACCTTCAAGTCTAATGGTAATGGTGGGTGAGTTGAAAGGATGCTGGCTGCCCACAGGCTGGAAGCTCTCACTTCTTGATGGTGGCATCTGTGTTTTAGGAGAGAGGATCTGAATTAACGCCCCAGCATACCTCCACATCAACGATACCGTCCCAAGTACAGATTTACCTCACACAATGATGGTTCAGTTACCAATTTTCACAGCAAAGTCTCTTGAAAAAGCATGTTTCCAAGCTGCTGATTGCAGCCTTAGGATATAGTTCAGTGGTAAAGGTAAGGCCTAGAATTTGTTTCCCAGAATCACATGTACATGTTTGCACACGCGCGCGCGCACACACACACACACACACACACACACACACACACGCATGCAACTTGTAGCTCAATGTTAAAGCCTGTCCTTAGCCTGCTTTAGGTACTGGGTTTGATCCCTAGAGCCAAAAAACGGATTCCTTTTTTCTAACATAAATTCTTTACACCAAACTGCTAGATACCAACTGGATTGGGAAGTCTTTACTGTTCAGGTGAAGATATGCTCATGGATTTATCCAAAGATGCATATGTAGGCTGATTAAAGAATGTCCTATGTTTAAATGAGCCCAAGATAATTTGCTTTGCATAGACGGGCTGTTTCCTCTAATTCGTGTATGGAAATTCTGAACCCCCAAGTTCATAGCACTGAGACTGGGGATTGGAGGGTAAGTAGATCATGAAGGACATTACTTCTGTTATAAGAAGGGACATGAAAATTTGCTCTCTCTTTCTCCCTCTCTGTTATCTATCATGTGAAGAAAAAGGGGGAAGATGGCCATTTACAAGCCAGAAAGCACACATTCACAGAAGCACAAATTCCAGCACACGATCTTAGACTTGTAGGTCTCTGGAAGTACGAAACATATAATTATTTAAGCTATCCTGCTTGTAGTAACCCATTAGAGATCCTGAACATGAAGATATAGCTGAGCAAGGATGTTTCTCTTTCCAGACTTTGGACTATTGGCTGCATCTTCTTTCTTTTTTGGTACCAGGGATCGAACTTGGGTCCTTGCGCTTGTGAGGCAGGTGGCCGCACCACTGAGCTAAAGCCCCGGTCCTGTTGGCTGTATCTTCTGTCTCCAGGTGCATCAACAGGATTCTCGTGGAGTCTGCACTTGGCTTACCTGAGCTATCATTTTATATTCTTGTGGAATTTTAGTGTGAGATGATTGTGGGCCCCAAAAGTTTAAAAAGATAGTGAAAACGGGACAGGAAAGAAGAAAGTGTGTTATCTCCAATGCCCCCAAATGCCTGTGTGTACAGTGCTTGATCTCTAGCCTGTGGCACTGCTGCGATGGGGCAGAGCCTCTGAGAGGTGGCCGGGTGGAGAGATAGGTCCCGGGGCTGTGCCCTTGGAGGGAATATGGGTGCCCCAGCCGCTTCTGCTCTCTTCCTTTGCTTCCTGGCCAGCTCGAGGCAAGCAGCTTTGCTGCACTCTCCTCTGCACGCTGCACCATCTCCTCACAGGCCCAAAGGCAACAGGATCAACTTTCCAAGGACCAAGGTCTCCAAAACTGAGCCAAATAAATCTCTCTGCACTCCAACATGGTTATCTAGTGTGCTTTGTCACATTAATGGAAAAGTGACTGATAGGATGCACATTCCAAAGAGTAATCATGAGCCATCATTTCTTCCTTGTTTGAGAATCCCATAACCTTCAGTTTTTATGTCCAAACTGCATTTGTTAACCTCCAAATTATACTTTATAATTTATATTAAATTATCGCTGTTCAGTTGACATATTTTTCCATCTGTGAACATTGTCTGGATATTTCGGTACCCATTTGGAACACATTCTAATTTATTTCATTAAAATTAACAGAAACTTTTCTTTATTTTATGGCTCTTCACTTCACATCAGGGTGCATAGGAACAAATAATGGTTGCTAAACAAGGAATAATGTGATCTGGTCTGAATGTGATCTGCACAAATGCATTTTTGTACCTTCTCAGTGATATTTTTCTTTTCTAACTGATAGGGTATCTTCATGGAGCCCCGAAAATGGCTAAGTTTTTCCCATCTCTTTCCTCGCAGGAGGTTAGCCCTTCTTCCTGGAATTCTCTTTCCTTGAAGATCACTCAATTTAAACCATATACATGATTCAAAAGCCTACTTGAATGCCACCAATGCCTACAGTTTTCCTGGAATCCTGGTTGCCTTATTGGCTCAGCCATTCATTTTCTCAGGCAGGCAAATTTTGGTGAATATAATCACAAACCTGTTGCTTAACTTCAAGTCCTCCCCGCAAATTAGACTTTAAATATCACTTTTTCCCTATTACCAACAGCATCATAGTACCTATCAGTACCAGACAAAGTTACAGATACTCGGTAAGTGTTTATCTGATCTTTTCCCCCAGTTATACTGTACATCTTAAAGTGCTTTTACCTCTCACCAGCAACCCTCAAAGCACCGAGTAGAGGGCGGGATGAGTTGTAGATGTTCAATAAGTATTTTTAAATTGGAGTTCCATGAGATTTATTATTTTCTAGTTCATAACTTAGTAAGGGTCAAATCTATCTATACCCAAGTCATTTTAAAGATATGCTTTGTTATTATTATTTTTTTCCTTTCAGGATGATTTGAGGCATGGAAACACCTTTTACCCTGTAGTCACCGATGCAGACAAGCACACAATGCTGAAACGCTTGGCTCTGGACACAGCCCTGAGCGTGAAATCTGGCTCTGCTCTGTCTGGCTTGAGACACTGAGCTTCTTGTTTAACCTGTCTAAGCCTCAGGTCCTTAATTTACACAAACAAAACAGCACCTCCTTTCATAGTGATTGTAAGACTTAAATAAACATCATTGCTTCTCTTGTCTCTTTGATGAGTCTAAACACATCTGTTTTGAAGTCTTTTCAGTTCGTTGCATTATTTTCACTTTCTTGGGAGTAAACTTTTTTATTTAATGAGCTTATCACTTGTCTTTTTGAACATTAGCTTCCTTCATATAGTTTGCACTTGGAGATTGTGGTCTTACCATGAGGAAGGGTTTCAACCTTTTCTGTGTTTCCTTCTCTCCATTTTTTATCTTTTGCTTTGCTTTTTGTATTTGTTCTGCGGCACCGGGGATCAAGTCCAAGGTTTCACCCAAGCTAAGTAAGCACCCTACCACTGAGCCCCAGCTCCAGGCCTCCTCTCTGAGGTTGCTGTTTCTTTACACTACAATTTATATGTGATTTGTTCCCACAAGTTGCATGCGCTGACACCTTAATCGCCAGTTTTAACAGTATGGGAAGGTGGTAGAGGATCCTCGTGAAAGGTGGCTGTGTCAGGATCACTCTCCTAAGGGGTGAAGGCTGCGTTGCCTTTGGCTTGGCTTGGAGAATCTGAATGGTTATGGTGAGAGCAGTTTGTTATGAAAGAGTGAGCCTGGCCTTTCTGCAGTCTTTGGCTTCCTTGCAGGCACATGCACTCCAGTATTCACTCAGAGCAGGTAATGCTCTGCTTTTTACCATGTTGTGGTGCAGCTACAGGGCCCTTATTAAGGTGTTAGTCCCATATTGTTTAGTCCTTACAGTCTTCATAATCATGAGCCAAATAAAATTTTTTATAAGTTCCCACCTCAGGTATTTTGTTGCAAAAACACAAAAAATGCTAAAACAGCTTCCTCCCTGCTAGGGCTTGTGTCTGGATGTCTTCCCAAAGCCTCTTGTGGTAGTAGCTGGGGCTTTTTCAGAGGTGGCTGGATCTAGAGTGTGTCATGTGGGGTTGATTCATGGTGCAATGTAGGATCAAGGGCACTAGGATTGTGTGAGTGCTGCCCGCCCTAAGGAGCCTGGATAAGATATAAGGGGTAGAGGGGCTGGGGATTTAGCCTAGTGGTGCTGGGCCTGCATGGCAAGAACAAGCTCCTGAGTTCATAGAAGAACCTGAGGTCATCCCTGGCTTGCTTTGCTTGCCTTCCACGAGCTGTTTCTCCTCTGTGATGCCCCCTGCCATGCCGTCTTGCCTTGGAGACAGCTGACTATGAAACCTCTACAAAGTGTGAGCTAAATAAACCTTTCCTCCCTTAACTTGTGGACATTTTGTTTTGGCTACAAGAAAAGTCACTAAGACCTTCCCTAAGCCATTTCTGTGCCTCCCATGAGAACCAGTACTCATATAAGACTCTCAGGGCCCTACTTCACGGTGGTGTCCAGGACATCAAAGTCGAGCTGACCGAATCACAAGCTGCGGACTCCTTTATAGGCTGAGACTGAGGCTTCTTCCTCCTGTCACTAAGGTTCGTACACTGCTCTGAACACTGTTTGCTTTCCTCTTCTCCTCACAGGCCGGGGATTTGGTGGAATTCTCCATTCCGGGCAATGTGTCTGATTCAGTCTCCCACTTTCGAGAGGTATTCTGTTCCCATTTAGCCCACAGAACTTGCACCCTTCCCTCAGGCCCAGCGAGATCAGCTGACTTGTAGTTTTCAGCTTGCCCCTTACTTTGTGTTGCTGTCCTATTTTCTGCTCTACAGATATCTGTGTCTTGTTTGTGGAGTGAGACATGCCTTTATAATTTATTTATGTATTTAATAATTTTGTCTATTGCTGATCTGTGTTTGGAGCTACAGGGAGAATGGAATGGGGATTTGAGAGTGTTTGAAATGAGAAAGTAATCTTGAACTGCCCAGTATCAAAGAAGGCTTCCAGGGCCCGGATTTAGCTCAATGACATAGCACCTGCCTGGCAAGCACAAGGTCGTGAGTTTGATCCCTGGTACAAAAAAAAAAAGCTTCCTGAAGGAGGCCCTTGGCCCTTGTGAACCGGGCCTTTGAGCATGCACTTCAAGTGCAGATAAGGAGCTGGCCACTAACATGGGGATGGGGTAAGCTCCAATTTACAGGATTAAGCATGTTGCGCTACATGTCAGAAGGGCAGAGACTGGGCTTAGTTGGCATGTTATGTGCATGTGTAAGGCAGTTATGAGAAGCTGAAAGTGAAAAGTGAAACAAGAACAAAACTGAAAGCCTGAAGATATTAAATGAGTTACCCACGGTCATTCAGCTCTGCCCCTTTCAGGACCCCGCCCTAGGCAAACCCATGGAAAAGCCATACAGGGATGC